TTATGAAAAAATTTCGGGATTTTACAAATGTGGTGAAAAAATTTCGGGATTTTACAAATGTGGTGGTGGTGGTGATGATGTTGGTTGCGATGATAAGGTGGTGATGATGTTGGCGATACTAGTGAGGTGGTGGTGGTTGTAGGTGAGATGGCGTGGGTGAGGGTGTTTGTGACCAATTATTTGGTTGATTATGATCAATAAATTGGTCAATTTATGATCAATAAATAATATGTGGGCGATAACTTGTGCCAATAAATAATATGTAACCTAAAAATTTGAGTTGTAACTTATAAAATTCGTGATTTGTAACTGAGAAATAAATTGTGACCTATAATTTTTTTATTTGTAACTGATGAATAAATTGTGAACTATAAAAATTTGATTTTTGACTAATTTAACTATTTATGCCGATTTGTTGAATGTTTAAAAAAATTAATAAAAATTTCACATGTTAGCCTATCGACTAAAAAGGTCCGGAAGGATGCTCATTTAAATAATGGCCTACCCTTTTACACGGTCACTGTTCACTAAAATCTATTTCTAATTAAAATCACTGCTAGTGTATGGTTCATTAACAAGTAATAAAGTAGATTCTAAAATCAAGTATCATCCCAGAAAGATTGATTAGTTCAATTTTAAATATTCGTGACCTTAATTGAAACAAGAGTAATATGATGTATTTATAACTGAATTATATCTGAATTAACTTATACAATTATCAATGAATTAACTAAATTAAATGCAAATTATGTTGAACGCAAGTTAATATGTTTTAATGAATGGCAAACATACTAGGATCCTGAATTCTCATACAATAATCTGTTTTAATAATAGTTTTACTCGTTGACAACATGATTGAATTGGATGAATTAATGTCCATATTTTATTTAACAATCTCACTCGAGTAATGTTAAACCTACTTTTATATATGACCCAACTATACATCTATGATAGATGCAAATATATAAAAGTGCTTGAATTTTTTTAAACACTTAAATGATTCATATAAGACATGGCAGCATATTTATATCCACTATCGAACCCTATGCCAATTTATATATGTCGAGCATATTTTTCTTCTTTCGAATACATAAAATAAGTCACACTTAAATGATTCATATAAGTCATGGCAGCATATTTATATCCTCTATCGAACCCTATGCCAATTTATATATGTCGAGCATATATTTCTTCTTTCGAATACATAAAATAAGTCACCATATTTACACAATTACCGTGCACAATAATTGTAGAGAAAATAAAATCATATAAATCATTCACTACTCAAAAACGTGTTTTTAATGTCAAACATATAAAATTAAATATTAAAAGCCCATATCACATGGTTCATCGTTATGAAGAAGAAAACGAAAGGAATATTGAAAAATCGACATCACTCAAATAATTCTTGAAATGGTTCTCGTGTTCTTGGATTCGATTTTCGTGTTCTTGACTTCTTCTATACTCCAAAAACTCTTCAAAATATGTTGTAATGAGTGGTCCTTACTCCTAGACGACTCTAGCTCTTTAAAAGAAGTCCCAAAATTTGATTCCATTAAGAGTTGGAATCAAATTAGGAAACCAAAAATTAAACCTCAATTTAGCTTGGCGGGCCCGTAAAAAATGGGTCAACCGCCCAGGCATAAAAAAATTGACTGCTATTATTGAAGTCTAGAGTTAGGCGGCCGCCCGACCGACTAATGTAATTGGGAGGTTGCTCAATTATAAAAAATTCGCGAATTTTCCTTTCATACATTTTTTTCATTCTTTTTTTCATATTGGTCATCCGCGTCAAATTATTTCAATTTTGTGCTTCAACTTTTACTCAAAAGCATATTAGTCTCCTAACTTCCATCAATTGGTCAATTAATCATTCTTTCTTTTCCAATTGCTTAGAAACGAGTCCAAAACTGAAATAAAATAAAATAAACCTAAGTTAAGTAAAATCCAATATCAAAACGATATAAAAACTTAGTAATAAGACTCCGAATAAGTGTACAAAAATGCACTTACAAGTGACTTTCCAATAGTATTCTTGTTTGCATTCGATGCAGGATAAGCATTTGTAGGTTGACATCTAGTGGCCTTTAACTATGCTTTCGATGTAGTATAAACATTTATAGGGTGACATTTAGTGGCTTTTTACTATGCTTTCGACGTGGGAGAAGTCAGCACACGTCTTTGGTTTTGGCTGTAGAGAAATCTCATTCCAATTTTTTTATTTTTGTAATCATTAATTTAGTTTTCTCTAATTAGTAATTACAACTCTTTTCCGTCGTGATTTTTTTTAAAAATTTATTTTATTGAATAATTAATTATTTTCTATCTTGTTTTAATTAATAAAATTAGAAAGCTCTCCAAATATTTCAATTAAAAATATTATACTATTATTTTCTGTTCGAAAATAAGTTTGTTTATCTTTTTTTTTTTTTTTTTGTGGCTTCTGGTTCCACCCTTCAAACCTTCAGAGTCGAGACTTGATCCTTTCAATTTTTGAGTCAATGTCCGGATTGAGTTTTAAAACATTGCTGTGTCTAGCCCAGCAAAGCAACATAAAAGAAATAATAAGATAAGGAATGTGACTAAATTTGGTGGATATAAAAGAGCAAAACGTGAAATATTTTTTTAATTTTTTTAATTTTTCACCACGTTCTATTAGGGGAAAATTAGGGAAAACCAGGCATTAAGTATCTCTTTTTTAAAAATCAGGTTTTCACTTTTTTTTTTTTTTTTTTTTTAATTTTTCAGGTTTTTTATCTTTAAAAAATTTTTTTTTTATCATTTTAATTAAATAATTAACTCTTTAAAACCTAATTTTATCATTTTATCCCACACAACCCTCCCTCACTCTCATCACCGTAGCGGTGCCCGCCGCCTCCTTCTCCCTCCCTATGAATTTGCTGCCGTTCAAGGTGGCTAGTGCGGCAACCAAATCGGTGCCAAGTTCTGGGAAGTAGTATGCGTCGAACACAGTATCGATTCCATTGATCGGTACCAAGGGGACTCAGATCTGCAACTGGAGCGGGTCAATGTCTACTACAACGAGGCTAGCTGCGGTCGATTTGTTCCCCGTGCCATGCTCATGGATCTTGAACCTGGTGTTATGGACAACATCAGATCTTCTGGCCGGATAACTTTGTCTTTGGACAGTCCAGTGCTGGAAACAACTAGGCTCAAGGGCATTATACTGAGGGTGCTGAGCTCATTGATTCGGTTCTTGATGTTGTGAGAAAGGAGGCTGAGAACTGTGACTGCCTCCAAGGTGAAGTTACCCAAGGTCAAGTTGATTGAGGGTTTGGGTCATTAGATTTTATGGCCAAGTGTTTGGAGGTGGTTGTGACCAAGTCTTGATTGCATTTGGTTTTGGAAAATGTCGCAGATCTGGGTTGTGTGGTTGTGTATCTGTAGTGGTATGTTTTGTGCGGTGGTGGTGGATCTGTGGTGGCGGTCGTGTTATGATGATGGTGATCTATGTGGTGGTCGTAGTTTTTTGTTATTGATGTGGCATGATTAACGACGGTGGATGTCTGTGACCTAGGTGGGTGTCTGTGATGTGGAAATTGTAATTGTGACTCACTGAAATAGAGTTGCGACAAATAAAAGTTTTGATTTTTTTTTCAATTTGTGACCTGTGTGGGTGTCCATGACCTAGAAATTATAAACATCTGAGCCATAAACTTTTCCCTTCCATTAGAGCTGTTCGTGGGTCGATTCGATTCGGTATTTAATAAATGGAACTGTTCGGGTTCGATTCCGTACCATAATTAATTTTTTTAATATTTACAGCAAACTATATAAATACAACTAATGACATTTCATTCATAACTTTTACAAATTAACATAGCCAATTCAAAAATATATAACTAACTAGCCGTCCAATAAGATTAATTCAATGCATACAAATACCAAAAAATAGATATTAATATTACAGTAACACTACATAAAGTAAATTCATTTGCTTTAAACATCCTGCCTGCATAAAGAAAATAAAATATAAATTAAAAGTTATAAAAATAAAATATTTTTAA